AGCAGAACCAGCTCCAGTAACTCCAGCAGCTCCAGCAGCACCAACTCCAATAGGATCGGCAGCTCCAGGACCGCCAGCAGCTCCAGTAGTACCTCCAGCAGCAACCCCAGCCCCAGCAGCTCCAGTACCGCCAGTACGAGCACCTCCGGGACCAGCAGCAACAGTAGTAGCTCCAGCTCTAGCAGCACGGCTCCAGCGCCGGGCAAACCACTCGCGCAGCTCCTGCGGAGAGAGCGGCTCCCGCCTCGACGAAGCACCGCGAGAGGTCAGACGAGCAGACCCAGCACCCCCAGGCTCCGCACCCCCAGGCTCAGAACCCCCAGGCTCAGCACCCCCAGACTCAGCACCCCCAGGCTCAGCACCCCCAGACCCGGCACCTGCAGGCACAGCACCTCGAGCAGCACCAGAGTCAACAGCTACCTCGACAGGCTCGACTGCGTCTACCTGGGACACACGTGACGGGATAGGACCCTGAGGGGGGAGGGGGTCTACCGGGGGGGGGACCTGGCACAAGGAAGAGCGGTGGCGGGGGGAGTGACGGAGTGCGGTAGGGGAAGAGGCGGTAGTAGGGGACCGACTCGTCAAACGTGACGTCCTGGGAGGATAGAACGCAGCGAGAGGTGGGGTGGTAGAACTGCCACCCTGGCGCGTCAGGGGGGAAGCCAAGGAAGACGCAAGGAGCAGCACGAGGGGATAGCTACCACTGTAGAGCGAGAAGGGCAGGCGGACGACGGCGGCAACGGCGATGCCGCTACCACTGTAGAGCGAGAGCTCCGCGGCAGCTGCAGGGGTGGCTGCTCCAGGGGCGGCTGCTGCAGTGGCGGCTGCTCCAGGGGCGGCTGCTGCAGTGGCGGCTGCTCCAGGGGCGGCTGCTGCAGTGGCGGCTGCTCCAGGGGTGGCTGCTGCAGTGGCGGCTGCTCCAGGGGCGGCTGCTGCATTGGCGGCTGCTCCAGGGGCAGTTGCTGCAGGGGCGGCTGCTCCAGGGGCGGCTGCTGCAGGGGCGGCTGCTCCAGGGGCGGCTGCTGCAGTGGCGGCTGCTCCAGGGGCGGCTGCTGAAGTGGCGGTTGCTCCAGGGGCGGCTTCTCCAGTGGCGGCTGCTCCAGGGGCAGCTGCTGCAGCGGTGGCTGCTCCAGGGGCGGCTGCTGTAGTGGCGGCTGCTCCAGGGGCGGCAGCTGCAGTGGCGGCTGCTCCAGGGGCGGCTGCTGCAGTGGCGGCTGCTCCTGGGGCGGCTGCTGCAGTGGCGGCTGCTCCAGGGGCGGCTGCTGCTGCTGGGCGGCTCGGCTGCCCGCTAGGGGCGGCGACGGGGCCGGGTAGGGGCGGCGACGGGGCCGCTAGGGGCGGCGACGGGGCCGCGTAGGGAGGGGAGCGGCGACGGGGCCGCTAGGGGCGGCGTCGGGGCCGCTAGGGGCGGCGACGGGGCCGCGTAGGGGCGGCTACGGGGCCGAGTAGGGAGAGAGGCGGCAACGGGGCCGTTAGGGGCGGCGTTAGGGCCGCTAGGGGCGGCGAGGGGGCCGCGTAGGGGCGGTGACGGGGCCGCTAGGGGCCGCGAGGGGCCTTGAAGGGCGGCTACGAGGCCGCTAGGGGTGGCGACGGGGCCGCTGAGGGTTGCGCGAGGGGCCGTGAGAGGGGCCTCTAAGAGAGGTCGACAGAAGGGCATCCCACAAGGCGCGCCTCGGGCAGGAGCGACTGTCGCTCCGGTCAGAAAAAAAGTTTCAGTGGTGGGCCCAAGGAAGCGTTCCCACTAGGGAGCCTGCTCTATACCATGTGAAGAAATGAGGAATGAAAGAACTAGCAAGCAGGTGGGTACAAGTAGGAAAACCTAGAAATGTTGTACCCCATATAGTCTACCCCACTACAGCCTACACTGACTATAGCATATAAGTTTGAGAGACAGAGGCGCTTAGGACCGATTGTTTCCAACATGATTTACGCTGTCTGTTGCTTGATACAAGCACTTCAAGTGGCTGTATGCGAGTTCGGCGGAGTTGCCGTATCCCCGGTAAGACCGTATATTCTGCTGCTGATTTGGAGTGATGTTCCTTAGTAGAATCGTGTACTCCATCATTGACAAATACGTGTACTGATGTTTGTCATACTGTGTGCCATTTGTTGGATATGGAAGGGACCCGTCGAAGAAGCCGAGAATCTGTGCGCCTTCCATCATCAATTCGAACTCGAATGACCAGATGAAGAAGTCATTCCCGTCGAAGGGCCTTGACGTCTGCAGTTTTAAGACGTGCGCGAACTGCGACTGCACTTGAAGCGCATCCAGTGTCTTCTCTGGTCCACGTGCAGGCTGCAGTTGTGGCATGAAGCTGACGGAGCCGCGCTGGGGCTCGTACGGAGCAAAGGTAGGTTGCTGTTGTTGATTTCTACGTGCATAGAATGAACCATCAAGGCTCATTGGAGTCACGTCATTGTTGTTGTTGCTGTTGTTTGATTGCGCAGGTGCCGACTGTTGGTGTTGCTCGTAGAAGGACATGAAGGAGAAAAACTTCTCCATCATGTTCTGATCGAAGCCTGCAGATTGATTCGCGGGAGTCTCGGTAGAAGTTGCTCTTGGTCTTGTTGAAGTACCCTCCTCTGTCTGTAGGCCAGAGGCAGGAGGAGGAGTAGGAGTAGTACCCGGGGAGCCGTTTGAGGAGCTCCTTTCCTTTTGTGTTGCCATGCCTTCTGACGTTGTAGATAACTTGATAGCAGTTGAGTTTCCCCTGTTAGCTCTCATACCATGTTGGGCTGAGAAAAGCCCTTAGGATCTTTGCAGGGCTGAACTCTGAGTAGGACTTGTTGTAATTAGCGGAAGCGTTCTAATGAAGTAGTTGAACCACCTTGCGTTGGTATGTGAGGGCAAAGTGAATTGATTAAGGCAAAGAGATACAAGATTATATAAGAGTACGAGGAATACGAAGAGATACGGTTGCAACTACTTTACTGTTGCTGTTGCGGTTCGATACTGTGACGACTCGGGCAACTGCTTTGTAGCGAGTCAGTTGTGTGTCCTTGCTGTCGCGCTGCAGTTGTCAGGTCAAAGGTCGCTGACCTTTGACTTTCGCGTAACCTCCAGCAACTGCTCAACCTCCGAGGGTTGACTCGCCGGTGCTTCGATATACTTTGCTTCGCTTCTGACTTGGTGTTTCGACACGACAGAGGCGCTTAGAATTAGTTGTTTCCAACAATAGTAGTGTATGTGCGAGCTAGCTTTGAGTAAGCGTCACTGTAACTTCTTCACAAGGCTGACAGGTGGAACAAAGCGGGTGTAGAGTGTGGCAAGGTAGCAGACGAATAGATCTTGGGTGCTAGTGAGTGGTACCTACAGTTGTTAAAGGTTTGACCCAGGCCCTCAGATTCGTTTTTGGCCTGTCTGATTCGTCAGACTAGTACCGTACACAATTTTAGTCTGAAAATCTCAGAGTTGGTATAAAAAAAAGGCTGAAATTTCAGAGTGTCCTAAAAAAAAAAGCCTGATCATTCAAAAACAATGTATTCAATGTTTCATCGGAATGTAATCAATGTTTCATTCATCTGCTACCGATACACACAACACTAAGGGGATTTCCGATAAAACATGCTCTGACAGGGTGAATATATGTGTCAGGGCGAATCTTATGGCGCGAAAGAGCGAATCTGCGATGTCAAGGCGAGTTTTCTGTGATTGGTTGAAAATTGTTGTGCTCTGACCGCGCAAATCTGTTGTGTCAGGGCGATTTTGCTATGATTGGGCGAAAATCTTGTGCTGTAAGGCTCGGATTTGCTGTGTCAAGGCGATTTTGCGTTGACATTGCGAATCTGTTGTGACCCGTACCGTCTCCCCCCGGATATAAGCGCCACCCTAGGATAAGCGCCTGGCGCTTCTAATTGGCATATGGCGCTTATATCCCCTCCTCGATTATAAGCGCACCCCTTGAAAAAACTTGTTTTATTATAAGCGCACGTAAACTTTAAAATTTGAAATGTGTTCAAAAAGCTGTAACGATTTTGACTTTAGCAGGCGGATATGTTGCAGGTTCGGTTCCCTTCACATTCGGACCCTGCACTGGATGCGGGTCCAGTCAGCAGGACCTGTCAGGAGCTGGATGTGAGTCAGATTGGGTGTATCTCCCAGCGCGCGCGAGAATTTCAGAGACGATCCCATGTAACTTCGACTCGATTGAAAAGGCAAGCACGAGACCTACAGTTTGGTGTTAAAAGATATAAAAAAATATGTATGTCATTTTATAAACGCCGGCGCTTATAAATTTACTCGATTATAAGCCCACCCCCATGAAAAAACCTGTTTTATTATTGCCCCCCCATGGGGGTATATCCGGGGGGAGACGGTAAGTCCGAATCACCAGTCAAGGACGCGTTTGTACTCTGAATGATCAGAGTACACTCTCAGAAAACTCTGAACTCTCAGAGCTAGGGTGCATTCTGCTGTGGACACATGTCCCAATCGATGTGTCCCAATCGTTTCTACCGCACTGCATCGTATTACACCAAATTGCCCCCTAGTTTCGAAATTTTCGCGTCTCTGGTTTAGTTCGGTCGGAGCGGTACACTCGATTGGGACACATCGATTGGGACATGTGTCCACAGCGGAATGCACCCTTAGCCTTAAAAAAAGTCTGAAAATTACCGAGTTTGGGCCCAAAAAGGTCTGATTTTATCAGAGTACACTAGAAAAAAAAATCTGAAATATAAGAGTTTTTTTGTGCAAATCAGAGAAAAAAGTCTGACTTCGTAGGGCCTGGTTCGACCCCTTTTTCGGCTTTTGATATAAATAGGTGACAATGCGTTATCACTACTAGGCAGTGTTGACAATTTGTATCGGGAGAAGTGTGAGGCAAGATACTGGCAGCAAAGTTTCAAACTAGATTCTTTACAAGGTTGGGAGCTGCAAGGAACAAACAGGTTGTAACTAGTTAATGCACAATCACAAGTGAAACCTATCTGACACGGCAGCATGTAAAACACTGCTGTGCAGTATCGCGGGGGACGCAGACAAGGGGCAGCAGAGGTTACTAGTGTTGCAGGCAGAGGAGGATAGGTCTCCAACGGGGGAGAAACTTCTTGGAAGCCGAGGAAGCAAGGCGATCTGCCTGGAGCACAGAATGAGAGTAGGGGCATGGAACAACGGGAGTGAGGATGCGGAGGGCGTGGGAGGTGGAGCAGCAGGGTCTCAGGGGCACCTGAGGGTCTAGAGTGGAGCCTGAGAGGCATGGGGGGGGGGAGGCTGATCCGGGGGAACAGAGGGGCGGTATAGCAGCATGTTGAAAGGTGGGAGATCAAGGATGAGGCGAGCTGTGGGAGTCACCAGGGGGGAACGAGCCCGACCCGGAGGGAGAAGGGGGGACGGCGTCGTAACGACGAAAGGCACGAAACTGGGAGGAGAGGCGGGTTGGAAGCACCGGGAGGAGGGGGGGGAGGGGTGGTGTGAGCTGAGACCGTGAAGGGTGAAACAAACGCGACAGGGGTGCTGGAGAGGGAGCCAGGGTGGTCCAAGAGAGGTGGCTGGGGGCCCGACAGGCTTCCCGAAGCATAAGGCCGAACGCCAGCAGTGGCAAGAGAGGAGGGGTGAGCGCAAAGGCGTTGGCCACAGCGATTCACGTGAGCGGGCTGGCAGCCTGATCGGCATTCCGAGTCCGAAAGCCATGCGCAAAGGCATGGGTGTTGAGGTGAGGTGGAGGGCAGCGAGGCGATACAGAGAGCGACATTGAAGAACGTCAGGGAAAGCATATAATTCTGTGGCTTGAAACGGCTGCGCGTGGCTGGAGGGTGTGCGGTGCTACTTACCCGAGAAGGTGAGCGAAAGTGGTTGCACGGACAAGCTTGGGGTTGCCACCGCTGCCAAAAATAGAAGTACGGCGAAGGTGAGGCGAGAACGCAGTAGCACAAAGAGCGGGAAGGGCGCAGCGCGGGGGCGGGCGGCAAGCTTTCCGTTCCACGCCAGTGGCGCCGACCGGACTCGCGAAGGAGCGACTTGGAGGCGAGGCGCGCGTCCAAGCCTAGTTGGGAGCGTCGGCATGCTTGGCAGAAAAATTGGGAGAGGCGTGAAGGGGGGGCGAACACAAATAGCCGGAGATAGCAAAGAGTTGGGCAAAAACGTGAGGACGGGGAAGCGAGAGGGGGCGGAGCAATGAAAAACAGCGCGTGTTTATGCGGACAAGTTCCTGGCGGAGGCGGGGGGTTATCCGTCGGCGGCGGCGCGAGGACATCGTAGGGCTTCCGGCGACCCTGAACTGCTCCAAGGTGACAGCGAGAGCGAGAGCAGGTGAGCGATAGCGCGCGAGAAGAACTGAGAGCATGCGAGCGAGAGCGAGAGCGTGAGGAACGAAAGGCGAAGCTTTTCGGGTTAAGGCGTAGGGTATGAAAATAGGGCGGGTTTGACCTTGGAGTTGCTACGACCTGAGCCCTGCATGTCGGCGTAAGGTTAGCAAAGAAGATCGAGGTGAGCAGCGGACGCAGACCGAAGAGGAGGACCAACTTACCTGGCGCCGAATCGATGTCGAGTGACGGGAACCAGCCAAATCGGCGACGGTTTGACAGTCGAACGGTGGAACAGGCAAGTAAGCTGGGGCTGCGATTACCCGCGGTAGGTAAAAACCTAGGTGACTGCCTAGGTGGCGACATAGTCGGGGTAGGTGGCGGAGAGGTCGTTGGCAGATAGGTTTGGAGCGGGGGTTGGGGGGGGGGGGAAGGGTGTTCGGTGGAAGCAATGGGGAAGTGGTCTTCAAGGGGGTCACTTCACATAATGTAGGCACCGCCGTGGTAGGTAGGAGGGGGGACAAGGTAAATTACGAGGGCTCTTAAGCAGTTTACCCTTCGACATCACCCCCCTCCTGCTACAACCGAAAGTGAGAAATTTCGGATGCTCGGGTGGAAGGCTCTGAAGGCAAATGACGAAAAAACAAGAACAATTTCGCACGCACACTTCATGGGTAGATAGAGCTCCGCCAAATCAGAACGAGAGTTGAAGTTGAGAGAAGGGTAATCAGATGGAAGAAATTCGACCCCTAGCACACCCACCTGCAAGAATTTCTTTTTCCTGTTAGTGTTGCTGCGTCCCTGTTTTGGCTTTTCGAGGTTAGGGGTGTTGGCTTTCTAGGGTTCCGGTGTGGTGTTCCCTAACCCGCCGCCTCCCTTCTCCCTCCGTCGCACATCCCCGAATAAGCAGTTTTCGAAGGGCGGGGCGAAGGAGGCAAAATTTGCCAGCCTAGGAAGGTGGGGAGGGGATTGGGAGGCTTCCTACGTCCTGATATCCGCAAGGGTAAATGGCTGTTCTGTTGCCATTTACGGCGTGTTGCAATTCGCGGTGCACTGCGTCGGTCGGCTCGTGGCACGGGTTTGGGAAGGCTCCGAGAACACAAGAGGCCGTAAAATTTTTACAGGATTTTTTTTACAAAAAAAGTCCTAATAAAACCTTGAAAAATAACTCTTTGCATCACTATCTTAAAAGATTTCTTTCCCATATCAGTGCCCGTGTTTGGCCTCCCGCCTGCCTGGAGCCTTCCAAACGTCCCGAACCGATGCGGTGCTCCGGCAATTGCAACACACCGTTACCTTCGTTTACGTTCGGAGGGTAATAGGAGGCTCGGAACCATTTTTCGGGCTGACCGCTCTTTCAAACCAAAAAACGCAGTAGGGAGAAGGTTCCTATTTACCGCCCCCACCCCCCCCTCTGTCGTAGCTGCAGAACGCAGCCGAAGTGTCAGGGTCAGGGTTTAATAAGTCGGCAAAAACAGCCCCAAAGTTTCACTGAAAGTCTTCTCTATGTGGGGTCCCCCAATTCCCAGAGTTTTCAACCTTTCTCAAGGCACCAGGGTATCGTTCAAATGTACTCTTAGAACGGGGGATGTTCAAGTACAGTACCTCGGGAGTGTCACGAGCATCCCAAGCAGCCTCTCCTGTGGGCACGTTGGATTGGAATCCTACCACTCACCGCAGCTTCGCTTCGCCTCGCCTCGTCTCGCCGCGCCGCGCCCCTCCAGTCGCGTGATCCTACAGCGGGATTGTCCTCGACGGGGCCCGTCTGCAACACGACCCGCAGCGACCAATTTCCCGCGCAGCGATCGCACGATCGCACAGACGTCGCCCTCGCAGTGCGATTGGAGCACCGCCACGTCAGCATCACCTGGCCGCGTCGCTCTATCTCCGCGCGAATGGCGTCTGCCTGGGACTGCCCGCGCTGCACCTTCGCCAACTCCCCCGCTTCCTCTGCGGCGGCGGGCGCGGCGTCGTGGCGCGAGGCGGAGTGCGCCGTGTGCGGCTACCGGCGCGCACACGTGGATCTCGACGACGATGACGTGGACGAGAGGGACCCGGAGGAGCGCCACGTGGCGGCGGAGGAGCGCGATGCTGCGTGGGCGTGCGGCGTGTGTACTCTCCTCAACGAGGCTGCTGCTGCTCGCTGCGCTGCCTGCGACTCGGTACCGCTCTCTACCGTGTCAAACCCTGACGTGCTGGGCTGAGCTGTTTCCGTCGTTCCTGATACCCCATAGCGCCACGACCTTGCTCTGTCTCTGCCCCACCGTATCCTTTCCCCACCTTCCCCCCTCACCTCCCTCTGCCTGTCGGCGCGCAGCTTCCCCCCGCGCACAGGAGCAGCGACGACGGGGAGGCTGCTTTGGGGGCGGAAAGAGGGAGCGAGGGAGGGAGCGGGGGGCAGGGGGAGGGGAGCAGAGAGTTGAAGTTGGAGGAGAGGCGCAATGGCGGGGCGGGGGAGAGCGGGAGCGGGGAGAAGGAGACGGGGGAGGATGGAGGGGTGGGACGAAGGGAAGAACGTGGGGAGGCGGGGAGGGGGGCGGAGGGCACGTCGGGGAATGAGTGGCTGCGACTGCTGCACGAGGCGAGGGTGAAGAGACAGCGCCGGGGCGAGACGAGTGCAGGGGCGAGGGGTGGCAGTGAGAGCAGGACACAGACACACACGGTGAAAGAGGAGGAGGAGGAGGAGGAGGAGGAGGAGGAGGAGGAGGAGGAGGAGGAGGAGGAGAAGCATCAGGATGAGCAGGAGAAGGAGAGAGCCAAGGAGAAGGAACCAGGTGTGCGATGAACCCCACTTTCCTCCCCCCCCTCTCCCACTGCCTCCTCTCTCCCCCCACCTCCCACCCACCCCTCCCCCTTCTCCCCGTTCTCCGCCACTGCATCACCCGTACGGGCCTCTCCTCTTGCACCCGTTGCTGGAGAGCAGAGGGCGTATGGGTCCAAGTGCATGGAGTGCATGGAGTGCATGGAGTGCATGGAGTGCATGCCGTGCACCTGTGGCCTCTTCACTGCATGTGCACTGCTCCCACTGCTACCTGCTGCAAACCCCACTGGCTCACCAAGGGGCAGCAAGGGTGTGGCAGCAGGGACGTGCGAGTGGGGTTGGGCCAGATAGCCCCTGTGCAGCGCCGGTGGGAGAGGGGTGGAGTGGGTGGTGTGAGAGTGAGTGGAGGGTGTGGTGCATCGTGCCGGCGCGTGCTGCTGCATGCCTCCACTCCGCTCACTACCACTCCCCCTATCAACAACTGCCCTCCACCCATTCATTCCTCATGCCCTCACCTGCTCTCCTCACTCCCTTCTCCCTCTGTCCCACTTTCCCTCCTGTCCCCACTCGCTCCTCCCTCCCGCCTCCGCCCCCTTCCCCCCTCTCCCTCCACCTGGTGAGCAGCCGTCATGAGCACGAGCGTGAGTGCGAATGCGAGCGCGAGGGTAAGCATAATGACGTGGAACGTGTGGTTCAACGAGGAGGCGGCACTGCAGCACCGCATGGCCGCCATAGGCGCTGCCATCCTCCACCACCGCCCCCATGTCGTCTGCCTGCAGGTGCTGTCTCGTACCATGCCGTGCTGTCTCGTACCATGCCGTGCTGTCTCCTACCATGCCGTGCTGTCTCCTACCATGCCGTGCTGTCTCCTACCATGCCGTGCTGTCTCCTACCATGCCGTGCTGTCTCGTGCCATGCCGTGCTGTCTCGTGCCATGCCGTGCTGTGCCATGCCAACACTGGCTCAGTTCAAGAAGGGTGTGGTGTGAGTGTGGTGCACGGTGTGAGGTGAGTGTGGTGCAGGAGAAGCACGGTCTCTTGCACTCTCGTACTCTCTTCATCTACCACTTTCCAGTGTTTTTCCAGCCTTGCATCCCACCGCCTCCCCATCTCCTACCGCTCTCTTGTTCCCACACCCCTCCCTGCGGCCGTCCCCACACCGTCCCTGCCCTGCCATGGCGCAGGAGGTGACGCGTAGCATCGTGGAGCTCTTCTCCGCGCACCCGTGGTTCTCGGAGTACCGCCCCTGCTCGCCCCTGCGCGACCACCACATGCCGCCCTACTTCTGCCTCATCGTGCGTGCCCCCACCCCTCCCTGCCTGCCATGCCCTGCTGCCATCGCATGCCCACCATCATCCGCACACCTGCCCTCATGCGCCCCATTCCATGCTCACAGCTTCACATGCCACACTGCACCTCACATGTGTCCATGCCACCCTTGTGAGGTTCTCACAAGGGTCATGTGCTTCTCACAAGGGTCATGTGCTTCTCACAAGGGTCATGTGGTTTTCACATGTGTCCATGCCATACGACCTAACATGACCCTTGCTCCACTCATCCCTCTGTGGATGCATGTGAGAACCACTTAGCTGCTATAACTTCACATAGCAATGACTTTGATTGAGGGTAACATTACATTTGTGTGTGCTTGCTTGCTTGTGTACACCTATGAATCTCTCGTTCTACTAACCTATTTCAGACCTCACAGTGACCCAGCTCACCCCACGCCACTTCGTCCCCCCCACGCTCGCTGTGACCTTGCAAGCAGCTGGCGCGCCTGGCAGTGCAGCAGCAGCACGTGCACCCCTTCGCCAACTCCATCATGGGCCGCCAGCTCCTCATCACCTCCTTCCGCCTCCCCCCCCTCGCCTCCAACGCTTCCTCCGCGCCCCCGTGTGTGCTCACGGTGGCCACAAGTCACCTGGAGTCCCCCTGCCCTGCGCCCCCCACGTGGGACCAACACTTCTCCCCCCAGCGCGTGCAGCAAGCTGCGGAGGCGCTCCGCCTGCTCCACTCCCAGCAGTGGCGGGAGCGGGGTGCAGAGAAAAAGCGCGCGCGGGAAGAGAGTGTTGCGGGGAATGGGGGGCGCAGTGGAGAGGGGGAGGGCGGTGGGGAGAGGGAGGACGTGGTGTTCTGTGGGGATATGAACTGGAATGATAAGCGGGACGGGGATGTGCCCATGCCACAGGGGTGGGTGGATGCATGGCAGCAACTGCACCCTCATGAGGTGAGCACTCGTATGGGTAGGGAAGGGAACTGCAGAACAGGAGTAGCTTGAGTCCCTGCTGCTGCACTCACTCACCTTTCTTTCCACTCTCTGCCTTGCGTCAGGTGTGCACCGCATTGCTGCCTTACCTCTCATGCGCTGCTCAGCATCAGCTCAGATTCCGACCTCTCCCCGCCCTGCAACCCCCCACCTCGCCCCCCCATGCTAACCCACGCGCCCCTGAGGGCCTAGCAGGAGGGCTTCACATACGACAGTCGGTTGAATCCCATGCTGGCAGGGGGCCGCCTGCGCCTGCGCCTGGACCGCTGCTGGGTGCGCCTGCAGCACCTGCGCCTGCACTCCCTCTCCCTCCTCGGCACACACCCCATCCCCAGGGGCTCGTACTCGAAGCAGCGGCGCGTGAAGGGCCAGCCCACCATGGTGGACCTGCCTCTGCTGCCCAGTGACCACTTCGGCCTGCTGCTCGTGCTCAAACGGGGTGAGGGGGGGGCTGTGGGGGATGGGGATGGGAGAGCGGTTGCAAGTGCTAGTGGTGTTGGTGGTGATAATGGAGGGAGCAAGGGTGGTGAAGAGCAGGG